AATATCTCATTGGAATCTGGTCAGATGCCTTCGCAACTCAAGGTTGCCATGTTACGCCCGCTCCTTAAGAAACCTTCTTTGGATCATACTCAATTCTGCAATTATTGTCCTGTATTGAATCTTTCATTTATTAGCAAAGCAATTGAAAAATTGGTAGCTAATCAACTTATCTCCTACATTAACGAATATGAGTTAATGAGACATTTCAGTTGGCGTACAAGCAATATCACAGTACTGGTTAGTTAGTTAAGCCCCTGGCTCCAGGATGGAGCATGGGCCATCGACAAACTGCCGCCACTGACGCCTCTTTTCTGCCAGCTGTTGCAGCTCCTTCCAGTTCTTCCTGAGGACCTTCATCTCTTTTTCCATATCCCTCCTCCAGGTATTCTTGGGGCGGCCCATCTTTCGTTTTCCCTGTGGATTCCAACGCAAGGCTTACCTCATAATGCTGTTTGAAGGTCTTCTCAGCGTGTGGCCTACCCACATCCATGTCGATAAGTTCATTATCCAATCAATTGCCAGGAGGAATAAGAACGGTGAAAGAAGGCAGCCCTGCCTTACTCCGGTTTTAACTTCGAAGCTCTCCCACAGCTGGCCTTCATGAATGACTTTATAGGTGGTACCTTCATATGAGTTTCTTATGATGTTGATAAACTTCTGGGGAATTCCATAATGAGCTAGTAATTTCCAAAAAAAAGGGGCGATCCAGACTATCAAAGGCCTTTTGGTAATCCATGAAGTTGATGTACAAGGACAAGTTCCATTCAATTGATTGCTCTACGATGATACGCAATGTAGCAATCTGATCTGCGCATGATCTAGCTTGCCTAAATCCAGCTTGCTGGTCCCTCAGTCTTCCATCCACTGCCGATCTTAGCCGCTCTAATACCATTCGGTTGAAGACTTTACTTGCTGTGTATAACAAAGTAATACCTCGATGATTATCACAGTCCCTGAGGTTCCCTTTCTTGGGCAGTGTAACTATAAGTCCCTCTTTCCACTCAGTAGGTGATTTCTCGTCCTCCCAGATGCTCTTGAACAGTTCAAGTAGGATCTCTGTGGTGGTGTTGATGTCTGCTTTCAATGCTTCCACTGGATTGTTGTCGGTACCTGCTGCCTTTCCGTCTTTCATCTTCCTAATGGCACTACTAATCTCTCTCCTCGAAGGTATGGCACAGTTTACTAGGAGTAGATGTTCAGCTTCTGGGATATCGTTTCCTTCATCCGGGGGTGGCCTGTTCAGGACCTCTCCAAAATGCTCGACCCATCTATGCAGCTGTTCCTCTGTAGTGGTCAGAATATTTCCTTGTTTGTCCTTGATGGTATGATTAACATGACGAAATTTCCCAGCTAGCTTTCTTGTGGTGTAATACAGGTCTTTCATGTTCCCTTTTGCTGCGGCATCCTCCGCCTCCTTTGCTAGGTTCTCTATATAGCATCTCTTGTCCTTTTGAGCACTCCTTCTAACTTCCTTATACGCCACATCGTATTCATTCTGCGCCTGTGACTTTTCTGCACGTGTCCGGCTGTTGTTAACCCGCTCTTTCTTGTACTTTCTTGCTCTCACTTTCTTCAGAGTATCCATTGAGATCCAATCCTTGTTTTGGGACTGCTGCCTTCCTAAGGTGTCCTCACAGGTACTAATCCATGAGCTCTTTAGAAG